CAAAAAACAGGTTTAAACAGGCAAAAAAGTACATAGCTTCATATGCACAATTTTGTGGACAGAGCTGGCTAATGCCTCAATGACAGTTTCACCATCCTCTCTTCCAGTGAATGCAGGGTTTTTTCTTAGCTAACACAGTTAAACTGCTTCCTCTGTTTATCTGTGGTTAGACTAAATGAGGCCAAACTTCTGAGAAATTCTGAAGTTCATCAGTTAAGATTCTTATTTTCTTCCTTGTTATTACTCTCCTGTAGGACTTGAATGTACAGGTCTTGAATGTGAAACAGCCACTTCAATCAGTGTAAATTAACCTAAAATCAGAACTAGAGGGCTGCCTGGGAGACTCGGTTAAAGGGAAAGTTAATTGAAAATGAAAAATGTCTTTTAAATCACCGTCATATCATTCCAGACCTGTATGGCTTACTTTATGTTGCTTAACAAAATAGATATTTTGAAGAATGTGGTAAACGGTTTTGGTTTCCACCGACTAATGTATGAAGGAAAAGAGAAGAGGGCATGTGGTCTAACCAAAGCACCCTCCAGGCAGGTGGCGTAGTGGTAGCCTCGGCCCATGATGAGAACACTCTTCTGCTTATACAGCTCAGCTGCCAACTTCTGAATCTCCTCGTCCAGGCTCAACACCTCCTTGATGAGATCTAGAGAAAGACATGACTAAAGGTCAACATTGTTGAATTCGTACAAGTACCAATCTATCCAACCCTCAAAAGTTACATTTGGTGCAGAATCTTTTATTCTTTATAAGCTCCAATAAACGCTGCTTGTAAGTGCTTAGAAGCTTCGATCACCTCTCTACTGCAATCTTGGCCCATTCCTCACTTAAAAAAAAAACTTCTAGATCACTGGTCCTTTATGGTTTTCACATTGCCACTGCTTTAGTCAAATTCAACCAAATATTTCAATGAGGTTTAAATCTGAAGACTGATCCCTGAACCAAGCATAAGTAGATTTGGGTACATACTTTGGGATGCCTGTCCTGCTGGAAAATCCAGGGACCATCAAGCTTCAGTCTATGCACTGAAGCCAAAATCGCCAGATTTTTCAATGAATCCATGATGTCCATGCAGTCAAGATTTCCACTTTCAGCAACAGAAAAGCACCCCCATAGCAGGACTGGTCCACCTCAATGTTTGACCATGGAGATGGTGTTTTCTGCTTATAAGCTTGCCTCTTTACACCATACAGCAGATCCACTGGGTCCAAAAAGTTCCAGTTTGGTCACAAAACATTCTTCCAGAACTCTGAAAACTAGCGTTTTCTTATACTCTGTATTTGAAATGTTTTTTCCTGCTTTCATCGGGTCATCTAGCAACATTTTATGATACTGTGCTTTTTCTTCAACACCCTCAAAGGTTTTCTTGGCTTAAACACATTTTCAGCTAAGGAATGAGGCTGCCAGCTGTGTCTCTAGGAACTTTTAGTGACTTGGAAAGACTTTCTAATGTAATAAAACTATTTCTTCTCTAGAGCTTTAACCGGGCGAACGAGATGAGAGATGTGCAGATCCATTTGCAAGCTTTATTAGACAGAGACATGGTCAATAACACAGGCAGGGTCAAAACACCAGCAAACAGGTACGGCACGGGCAAAACACAAGAGTAGTCCAAAGACAGACGTGATCAGACTCTGGCGAACAATATCTAACAGGGCAAGGCAAAGAGAGATAATCCAGGTACGCAACAATAGTCCAGGCAGGGGTAAACTGAGTCTGAAAGGTAAAACAATAGATAATCCGATGTACACAGGCAGGAATCAGGAAACAGGTAATAACAAGACTAGACTAGACTATGAAAATACGATATGGCTCCGTAAAGCAGCTATCACTAAGAGAGTGATAATCGCAGAACAATAATCGGCAGTTTGAGAAGGATCTGAGTGGGTGTAATATAGTGTGTGTGTGATTGACTGCAGGTGAGTCCAATCAGTGCAATGTAACATGGGAAATGTAGTCCAGGATGACGTGTAACAGCTTGTGTGGTGTGAAAGTCAATATAATGGAAGGGCGACCTCTGGTGGCAATCAGACGGAAGGCCACGGACCGGATTCGGACTGCATCTGTTTACAGATACCCGGAAGTACTGGGCCAAATGGGAGAGGCAAGCTCAAATACAACCCTCAAAGGTGAGGGGAGCAGCACTGCCCGAGACAGCATTTACACAGGAAG